TAGTCATTACCGGTGCATTGATTCATTTTTTTTTTCATTCTTAAATTTCCCAGCTCAAAAGGCAATCAAGAAAAAATCGATCAACTAATGAACATCAAATTATGAGTTGTCACGCTCTATGATGAATCAACGAGATCAAATTATAAGTTGTCACCTTCTATAATGAATCAATGACATCAAATTATAAGTTGTCACCTTCTATAATGAATCAATGACATCAAATTATAAGTTGTCACGCTCTATAATGAATCAATAACATCAAATTATGAGTGACACTGTTCGATAATGAATCTATAACATCAAATTATGAGAGACAGTGTTCACTAATCTATCAATAACATCAAACCGGTACGAAGTTTGGTAACAATTTGAATGTTAAATACCGACCAATAAATTGAGGCATTTAGTAGAACTGAACAAATGAACATCTGCAACGATGTAATGAAGGGCTGGTGAGACAAGTCTAAGTGTTAGATAGGGCTGGTGAGACAAGACTAAGTGTTAGATAGGGCTGGTGAGACAAGGCTAGTTGTTAGATAGGGCTGGTGAGACAAGGCTAGTTGTTAGATAGGGCTGGTGAGACAAGTCTAAGTGTTAGATAGGGCTGGTGAGACAAGGCTAAGTGTTAGATAGGGCTGGTGAGACAAGGCTAAGTGTTAGATAGGGCTGGTGAGACAAGGCTAAGTGTTAGATAGGGCTGGTGAGACAAGGCTAAGTGTTAGATAGGGCTGGTGAGACAAGTCTAAGTGTTAGATAGGGCTGGTGAGACAAGGCTAAGTGTAAGATAGGGCTGGTGAGACAAGGCTAAGTGTTAGAGCTAATTTTCTGGAGAGCATTTATTGACTGAGACATCATAAACTGTTTTTGATTATCTACCTTATTGTCTAGACATATTAAGTGGTGAAATTGTTGAACAAACATGAAATGTCAAAAACACTTATGTAACACATTTTATAACTGTGAAGTTAAAGATCTGTGGTGGTTCAAATGTAATCACTTGCATAGTCTGCGCTTTTGTTCTCTAGCGTCACGAACAGCTCCATATCATATTTTCAGCGTTCTTATTTGTATCTTTAGTTACTACATAAAATCATGTGATGGACATGAAAGGTCGCCGTGTTTGACCGTAACGATTTCCTTTGTTATAGTTAGGGTTGATGACAAATTGTTACACAAGATCTGATATTAATGTTTCATATGAAGTTGTTGAACACAAATGGTTAGGATTTTTAAAAAAAAATATAGGAAAGTCGTCAAGATATTACCCGCCAATGACTAATGTTGTTCTTCAATGGAGATCAGTGGTTCTTAATCTTTTTGGAGGTACCGACCCCCACCAGTTTCATATGCGCATTCACCGAACCCTCCTTAGTAGGAAAAATAAAATCTGATTTTTTTTTTCAGATTTTTTTTTTGGGACCTCCGCCGAACCCCTGAGACTGACTCACCGAACCCCTGGGTTTCGATCGAACCCAGGTTAAGAACCACTGGTGTAGATGTATATGTAGATTCTTACCTATACATATTCTAGACAACTTTCTGTCATTTAAATCCAATTTCTGCCAGGTTGTTTGTCTGTACACATTCCTGTTACTAAATTTAGTTCATTCAAATTAAGTTCAAAATAAAACGATGGATCTTTGAAAAAAAATTAATGATAATATATATATATATCTATAAATAAACATTTCACGGTTTTCTATTTTGATATCATGTTCATAAAGAATAAGATAAAGTCGAATTTGTATTTTCTGTCACGAGTGTCTGGTGTGTCTGCCTGTAAATGGGATTAGACATAATAAATGAATCTTTGATTGATATAATCGATGAAACAGCTTGCGATCAGTCACTCCACATCTACATTAAAGAAATACAGTTCAATGCTTTGTCATTTTGATGTGTTGAATACAATACTTTGTCGTTTTGATGTGTTGAATACAATACTTTGTCGTTTTGATGTGTTGAATACAATACTTTGTCGTTTTTATGTGTTGAATAGAAAACTTTGTCGTTTTGATGTGTTGCTTTTTTTCAAGTGTCTGAAGATAGTCATGTGTGGTGTCTAGAGATAGTCATGTGCGGTGTCTGAAGATAGTCATATGTGGTGTTGAAGATAGTCATGTGTGGTGTCTGAAGATAGTCATGTGTGATGTCTAAAGATAGTCATGTGTGATGTCTAGAGATAGTCATGTGCGGTGTCTGAAGATAGTCATGTGTGGTGTCTGAAGATAGTCATGTGTGGTGTCTGAAGATAGTCATGTCTGGTGTCTAAAGATAGTCATGTGTGGTGTCTGAAGATAGTCATGTGCGGTGTCTGAAGATAGTCATGTGTGGTGTCTGAAGATAGTCATATGTGGTGTCTGAAGATAGTCATGTATGATGTCTAAAGATAGTCATGTGCTGTGTCTGAAGATAGTGATGTGTGGTGTCTGAAGATAGTCATGTGTGGTGTCTGAAGATTGTCATGTGTGGTGTCTGAAGATAGTCATGTGTGATGTCTAGAGATAGTCATGTGCTGTGTCTGAATATAGTCATGTGTGGTGTCTGAAGATAGTCATGTGTGGTGTCTGAAGATAGTCATGTGTGATGTCTAGAGATAGTGATGTGCGGTGTCTGAAGATGGTCATATGCGGTGTCTGAAGATAGTCATGTGTGGTGTCTGAAGATAGTCATGTGTGGTGTCTAAAGATAGTCATGTGCGGTGTCTGAAGATAGTCATGTGCGGTGTCTGAAGATAGTCATGCGTGGTGTCTGAAGATTGTCATGTGTGGTGTCTGAAGATAGTCATGTGTGATGTCTAGAGATAGTCATGTGTGGTGTCTGAAGATAGTCATGTGCGGTGTCTGAAGATGGTCATATGCGGTGTCTGAAGATAGTCATGTGTGGTGTCTGAAGATAGTCATGTGTGGTGTCTAAAGATAGTCATGTGCGGTGTCTGAAGGAAGTCATGTGTGGTGTCTGAAGGAAGTCATGTGTGGTGTCTAAAGATAGTCAGTCTGGTGTCTAAAGATTGTCATGTGTGATGTCTAAAGATAGTCATGTGTGGTTTCTAGAGATAGTCATGGGACAGATGGAAGATGATTTGATCTAAAAATGATGCTGCGCCATGCTGCTTACTGGAGAAAGCAATGATACTCAGCAATGCTGAGGTGAGATTCATTTGAAAAATAAAGAAAGAAAAACTTGATGATATCTTTTAATTTACAAAAAAAATATGTAATTTTCCTGACTATTCAATGTTAATTTCTCACAATTGTTCATTGTCATTGCTAGTTCATTTCATTGTTGAACACAATTATCTCAAGCAAATTGAACCTACCATTTTCTTGCAATGAAAATAAAATGTTGCCAACTTACAACCAAGGAGTCCCATTGGTTTATGATTTTGTTTTATTTGGAAAAAAAAATGTTAGCAGCCTTCTTTTATGTAAATAGGTCAACGAGATATGATATTAAAGAGTGAAAATTGATTATTTTTGTTTTAGATAAGTCAAGCAATAAATACATTAATATAACATTTGTTCCAAATCACCTCCATGCTTTAAAATATTTCAAATTTTAACACTGTGATAGATGAAGGTGTTCAACGGATTGTCTGTAAATTTTGATAGATAAAGGTTGTTACGCACTGAGTTCTATTGTGAGAAATTAATCTCCTATTTTAAATTTATGGCTCGTTCGAACAGTGCCTAACAAAGGACGATACCATAGAGAAATACAATAACAAAAATACAACACCCAAAACAGTACCAATTACAATTAATAAGATTTAATTTAGTAATAATACAATAACAAACAAAAGAAATATAATTATAAATCATCAACTTACAGAGTATGGGAAAATCTTGTACCGGTACACATTTAGTACAATGTGCCTATTAATAATGATGAATGATGAATGCGAATAAACACATATGAGTACACAAAGAGTAATACACGTCTCGTGAAGTTAAAAATATCTATCAATCTCCTTGAATCTCCGAAACACCTTTATTTATATAGTGGGTCTACCGACGCGTCCAGAAACGCTTTTGACATTGTTTACGTTTCTCGTCAAATCGAGAATGTTCCACAAGATACTAGGAGGCAAACTAACCATATTTAATTGGAAGTCGGCAGTAAATACGACAGATCAAAGGACTAAGCCACGCCCATCTATGAACGTAGCGTGTGCTAGCAATCTAATTTGGGGGTCAAGCTAAGTTCACGCACGGGGAAAAATGTCCTACATAACAAAGGTGTTCAGCTGGTTGTCTGTAAACTTTGATAGATGAAGGTGTTCAACAGGTTGTCTGTAAACTTTGATAGATGAAGAGGTTCAACAGGTTGTCTGTAAATTTTGATAGATGAAGAGGTTCAACAGGTTGTCTGTAAATTTTGATAGATGAAGGTGTTCAACGGGTTGTCTGTAAATTTTGATAGATGAAGGTGTTCAACGGGTTGCCTCCGATGTTTGATAGATGAAGGTGTTCAACGAGTTGCCTCCGATGTTTGATGAATGAAGGTGCTCGGCAGATTGTCTGCAATATTTGATAGATGAAAGCAAGGGCTCTCAAACTATGACTCGTGTGCCAGATTTGGTTCTCCAGTATCTCCAGTGGTCCTTAATCCGGCCCGCCTGGCTGTCGTACGGATATACGGGTAACAGGGACAAATATTGAATCAGACAATGACCATCTATTGATCCAAATGCAGTTCCATACTTTCCAGTGAAATGCTAATGATTTTATATTGATTAAAATTGTTCTTCCTCAAAGATTGAAGACCCCTGTTTTAAAGTGTTGTCTGCAAAGTTTGAGACTAGATTTTTCAATGATGAAGTCGGGGCAGACGTGATAGAACGCTGTCTAATAAAAGCCGCTACGCAGGGGTGGATGAAAGCAAGGGAGCATTGCCGTTCAATGATTGTGTGGTGCGCATACAATGGCAAATCATTCGGTGCATCACAGTATGAACACGCCGCACCGGAAGATAAGGGGGTGTTTGATGACAGACAGCAAGGAATTTCGTCACCTTTAGCCTTTCTATTTCTATTTCTGATTCTGATGGGGTACGTTGCTGCATCCATGCACTGGCATGTTTTGTTTGGGAAAATGGTGTCTGTGTCTCGTTATTTAAAGAAGTAAGATTTAGTCATTAAGTAGTTGAACATGTGTGCTGTTAGTGGATCCGAGGAGTGGACTGGGGTGCATTTTAGCATGTACCTGAATTCAAACGGATAAAAAGGGGGAAAGACTTCAATTAGGTGTAGGCTAGAAGGAAATAAATGAACTAAAGTATGGGCAAACTTGAAAAAAGGACGTGACAAAAGAACGAACTTGTCGGCAAAAAGCCTTCGTCAGCGACCAAACAACAGTACATATAAAAACAAAAACAAACAAATATATATATATATAAACACCTAGCTGCGATGCAGTATCCGAGAGGGCAGCAAGAGGAATGTGGTAGGTAGAGCCTTATTAGGTAAGACAGTTAATATAGGAAATAGGGAAAAGAAGGGACAAGTGAGTCCACGGCTATAGGTTGTGACAAGAGGGGGTGGAGAAAAGATTACCTTCCCTTTGGGTAGTTTTCAGAACAACTATGATAAAGGATGTGTTTCCTTGGCATGAGCCGCAGATTTGTCTACGCCACTGTTTGTACCCACTGCCAGTTAAAAGATTGGACAAGTGAAGGAGAACATGACATTCATATCATATGGTGTCTAGATCCCCCATAAGTCTGCATCAGTTTATTCTATAAGTTCACTCTGGCGTGCGTGTTGGTACAAGACACAATGGCGGTGATAACCAGGTAACCGGAGCTTTTGTGGTCGCTTCTATTGAAGTGTTTTGATTTAGAGATAGGACACTATTAACCGTGCGTATTTATTCTAAGATTCCAGTCCCGTCCAGATACGCCGTCCAGTCCCGTCCAGATACGCCGTCCAGTCCCGTCCAGATACGCCGTCCAGTCCCGTCCAGATACGCCGTCCAGTCCCGTCCAGATACGCCGTCCAGTCCCGTCCCGATACGCCGTCCAGTCACGCCGTCCAGTCCCGTCCAGATACGCCGTCCAGCGCCGTCCAGATACGCCGTCCAGTCCCGTCCAGATACGCCGTCCAGTCCCGTCCAGATACGCCGTCCAGTCCCGTCCAGATACGCCGTCCAGTCCCGTCCAGATACGCCATATGGCAGTAGGTATAAACAATGGCGTAGATAACATTAGTTCTAGTGCAAAGGGAAACGTTCCCTATCTAAAAATACCCCTAGGGGAGGGAATTTGTTGAATCTGTATGACTCTTTAAAATTTTTAAATGGCACTTTGATTATGGTATTGGGGTCACCACTATGGAGAGGCGCATGGAACTTGACCTGTTCATCATCTTGATCTTTCTGTCGGGCCCATCTTAGTTTCGACCCATAGTGTCACGTTGAAAGGCGTGGAAAATGTGTGTGTGTGGGGGGGGGGGAATGAAGGGCACCTATGGCTCCCGAGCAAGAGTGGGGGGGGCGCGACTACACAGGGCACTCATTGGGCCCTTTCCCTGAAATGTTTTGGATTTTTTATAAATTCAAAAATGAATGGGTGCATTTCATGCATGGGTGCATTTTTGCTCATAATTGAATTAAATTTTGCAGCATTCTCCAATTAATAGGAGAGCAAACGAATCTAATTGTCAACTTGACATTGTTCTATTTATAGATTTAAGATAGTTTAAGTATTTACGCAATAGTAATTTTGTTTAATTTTTTTTAAACGATTTATTTTGTTAAACTAATTCATAAATAAAGGAATTTTAAATATATATATCCATACAAAAAAAAAAGCTAGCCGTCACAAAAAGAAACGAGGAAATTAGCAAATATTATCAACACTTATTATAGGAACATTAGAAAAAGAACTTCCATCTTTACATTTAAGCACGACGTAAATACTTGCGGAATTCGAATTTAAAAAAAAAAGAAAACCAATCCAACATTTTCACATTTCTAGCAAAATGTTTGTTCCTCAAGTTTAGTCTGTTTTTTTCGACGTTATTTTTTCCAGCAATTAGGAGGCCAACTTTTCTTTTGTTTTCTGGGCCAAGCCGACCCAACAATAATCATGTAAATTTGATTGGAACAGAGCAGTAGGTTGGAACAGAGCAGTAGGTTGGAACAGAGCAGTAGGTTGGAACAGAGCAGTGGGTTGGAACAGAGCAGTAGGTTGGAACGGAGACGAAGTTTGGAACGGAGCAGTAGGTTGGAACAGAGCAGTAGGTTGGAACGGAGACGAAGTTTGGAACGGAGCAGTAGGTTGGAACAGAGCAGTAGGTTGGAACAGAGCAGTAGGTTGGAACAGAGCAGTAGGTTGGAACGGAGACGAAGTTTGGAACGGAGCAGTAGGTGGGAACAGAGCAGCAAGTTGGAACAGAGCAGTAGGTTGGAACGGAGACGAAGTTTGGAACGGAGCAGTAGGTTGGAACAGAGCAGTAGGTTGAAACGGAGCAGTAGGTTGGATAGCCATCAACAGAGAGAAAAACTGTTTCGCTGTTTCCTGCGTAGAGCTGATGACAGGTGTCTTGAAGACTCGCCTTGTTTAAAGAACTGATCGCTTGCCATGCACCTGACGTCCAGACTGTTGGTAGCCATCTTAGTTTGTTGGATGGACTTCCTAGACTCGGCCGTACATCCATGTCTGCTGAAAATATTTGAGGATGGAAAGGAGGTGGGTAGTGTCGCTTCGAAGGTCAGAAATGGCTGCTAGTATTTGTGGTTATGCCAGTGGCGAACTAAAGGGGTGTTATATAATATTACATACATTCTGTATCTTAGTCTGTTAAAGGGCATACTCGACGGAGTTCACCCCCCCCCCTAGCGGCTTTTAGTTCACTTTACTCAGTAGGTTGTTCATTTTTGTGGAAATAATATATTTTGTTAATATTCAGGAAAATAATGACCTAAGCTACATTAGAGCCTTTCGGGCCCGGCATATTTTTCACGCCCTTTTTCACGAAACGACCCCCCACCCCTTTTGAGCAATTGCCCCAAAATACCACCCCTTCACATAAAGGGAAAATAAAGTTCAGTCCAGGGAAGACCCCGGCACCCCTTACCCACGCAATTTCATTCCCGGTGTCATCATACTACTTTGATCCATTTGGCTAAATTTTTTAGACACAGTAACGGTTGATTTATATTTGATTTATATATAACGGTATTTTTATGATGCTTATTTTGATATCAATCTCCAGATCAACAACTTTGAGCTATGTGAGATGGAATATACTACTAAAGGTAACCAACATCATATCAAGGGAGACTAAAAATGACGTAGTTTTTGGTTCTGGTCACCCGGGGCGGCCAGGATTTTAGCCGCCCCCACTAACTAACACACTTATTCTGGTGAGAGTCTGATATTACTCTCCAATGACCATATCTCCCAGTACATTGGCTACCAGCTCCATCTGCTGAGCTGAGCCATGCAACATTTTCCTCACAAAGGGATCTCCCCCCGCCCTGGCTTCCCCATCGGAACATCTAATGGGGCACGATCGGTCAACAGGTGCGCTAGCGTTTCTGGGACCAGGCTGCAATGCCGGCAGGTAGGGTCCCTGTTGCTATCGAGCCTCCAAAAGTATGTGCCGATAGGTCAGTGCTCTGTGCGCATCTGCGTCACTAGTCTCTGCTGTCTATGGCCTAACCTCCACCATGGGTCTTGTCTGCTAAGAGTGGGCAAGTTGTGAATAACTCATAAAGCTGGCCGAGAATACCAGCCCTCGATATGCACGGACAAAGGTGTCACAAAGGGTGGGACGACCCCCCCCCCCTTTGCTTCCTACGCCAATGGAGATTAATAAGGTTTCCGTATGAAGGCCAAATTCACGAAATAAATCAAGTCCAAACACGCTAAACCTCCATAGCTTATTAATAATGTAGCGACATTGTAGTGTATTGTTTTGTGAGGTCGCCTACATTACTATATCAGGCCCAAAGCCATGCGAAAGGGGATCGGTGGAGGGGATCACCACCCCCCAGCGACAACATTTTTCGATCTACAGCAGGGGAGATAAAGTCAATTAATAAAATTAAAAGACAGGCTCACAATATGAATGGAATAGTAGAACAAGGTATGTGGAAGCTGAAATCAAAAAGACAGCACAATAAAATGAGCACGTTTCGGCTTAAAGGATTCTCCCATGAATTATTATTTAATAATATTTCAATTTAGAACTCTTTAAAAAAATGTGGCTTAATTCTTACCAATAAATTATTAAAATTAATTTTTAAAGACCCAGTTCAAAGAAATATTGTTGAGGTGGGAAAAGTAGCGATGTTAAAAATGTTTGTTGCTTTTGTTGACATCCGTGTGAAGGTATATCTTTTTTTTTTTTTTTTTTTGACGGGTAGAATTCAAAAGTTAAGCCTATCTCCATTTATCACAATACCAGAATGTACGCCATTTATCACGAGCTTCGAGAGATCTGCAATACCAGGGAATTAAAAATGTTTGTTGCTTTTGTTGACATCCGTGTGAAGGTATATCTTTTTTTTTTTTTTTTTTGACGGGTAGAATTCAAAAGTTAAGCCTATCTCCATTTATCACAATACCAGAATGTACGCCATTTATCACGAGCTTCGAGAGATCTGCAATACCAGGGAATTATCCTAAAGATGGGTGGCCAGTACAGAGACCATCTTCCATCAACCTCATTGGTCTGAACACTCCGTTCTTTAGTACAGAGGACAACAGGAATTATTCAACGCCTGGAGTTACTATACAGTGGGAGCCACCACTAGCAGGTGGGACTGTGTAGGTGGGACTGTGCAGGTGGGACTGTGCAGGTGGGACTGTGTAATGATGCTACTAGCAAGTGGGACTGTGTAATGATGTAACTAGAAGGTGGGACTGTGTAATGATGTTACTAGCAGGTAGGACTGTGTAATGATGATGTTACTAGCAGGTAGGGCTGTGTAATGATGGTGTTACCAGCAGGTAGTACTGTGTAATGATGATGTTACTAACAGGTAGTACTGTGTAATGATGTTACTTGCAGATGGGACTGTGTAATGATGTTACTAGCTGTTGGGACTGTGTAATGATGTCAATAGCAGGTGGGACTGTGTAATGATGTTACTAGCAGGTGGGAATATAATGATGTTACCAGCAGGTGGGACTGCCTCTATATCCCCATATCATCCAAGAGCTCAATCAACCGAACCCCCACTTGTTATATTGACAGACCCCTGAATGGCACCACTTATAATCACAGACCCCCTAAATGTCACCAGTTATTATCACAGACCCCTGAATATCAAGCATTATAATCACAGACCCCTGAATGCCATTCGTTATAATCACAGATCTCTGAATGTCAATAGTTATAATCACAGACCCCTGAATGTCACCACTTATATTCACAGACCCCTAAATGTCACCAGTTATAATCACAAACCTCTGAATGTCTTCCGTTATAATCACAGATCCCTAAATGTCCCAAGTTATAATCACAGACCTCTGAATGTCACGAATTATTTATAATCATCGACCCTTAATTTCAACATCTATAATCACGTTTCCTCACGTAAACATATCTTAAGATATTATGTGATACTTCAACACGCCTTTTGTCAATAATGATTATGTCTTATACAATGAGCTAATAGAACATGTCTTATCAAACGGTTTTTTCATACTACAACATGCATTGTATGATTTATTTTGTGATTGTATAACATAGTTTTTATTTATGTAAGTTATTTAAGTGCAACATGTGCAAGCTGAACATATGTTAACCAATCATTGATTATAGAAAGGAAATGGCAGAAGGGGCTCACCTAATTTTTTCTGTGTTAATCCCTTGTTAGATCATTCTCACTTGGTTGTTTTCTGTGCTAATCCCGTGTTGGATCATGCTCACCTGGTTGTTTTCTCTGCTAATCCCTTGTTAGATCATTCTCACCTGGTTGTTTTCTGTGCTAATCACTTGTTAGATCATGCTCACCTGGTTGTTTTCTGTGCTAATCCCGTGTTGGATCATGCTCACCTGGTTGTTTTCTGTGCTAATCCCTTGTTAGATCATTCTCACCTGGTTGTTTTCTGTGCTAATCCATTGTTAGATCATTCTCACCTGGTTGTTTTCTCTGCTAATCCCTTGTTAGATCATTCTCACCTGGTTGTTTTCTCTGCTAATCCCTTGGTAGATGCGGCCAATAGAGATCTCGACGGGTTTCTGTTTACCTGGAAAGGTGCCAATAAGACCGGATGCAGACTATTTAAGACGACCCTGTTTCCCTCCAAATTTTTGTCCAACGTAAGACGTATAGCAAACCAATGTCTTAGTTAATCGATGTCTTGGTTAATCAATGTCTTAGCTTATTTATGTCTTAGTTAATCAATATATTAGCTAATCAATATATTTTTTAATTAATGTCTTAGTTAATCAATGTATTAGCTAATTAATGTCTTGGCTAGTGTCCAAAGTTAGAACTCTCATATAAATATATCTTGTCTTACTAGTCAAAAACGGGACAACACAGTGGGTCAGTTGTCTTACTAGTCAAAAACATGATTACATAGTAGGTCAGTTGCCTTACTAGTCAACAACGAGACTACACAGTGGGTCAGTTGTCTTACAAGTCAATAACATGGGTGTCTTTATTTCTAATGTGGGTTCCGTGCTCATTTTCTCCAGCTGACCTTAAGTTATGATATCGCCCGCCTGCTTGACCAGAGCCATTACGTAGTGTCTGTGTACAGCATGCCTCCACCCCGGCCTGATGAGAAGGACAAAGACAGATACGTACAATCTATGAGATTGACAACATTTGGATCTTTCGGTCAGTGCCTCAGATCCAATAAAAGAATAAATTATATTTAATATTTATTTATTTATTTATTTATTTAGGCATTTTTATATAGCGCTTATCATAAAGCTCTAAGCGCTTTACAATTATTAAAACATGTAAACTAAGTAAATACAAATGAGACACTAGGATAGTAACTACTATTCTATAGAAACAATGAAAATGGCTATAAAAAGAGGACACTTTGACACTTCAGGATTAAACCGAAACAGAAAATTAGGTAGGGCAAGGAGGGTGCATCACAGGTCATAGGCGGACCTAAACAGATGAGTTTTAAGGGACTTTTTGAAAATGGACGAGGTTTCACTATGACGTATATGGAAGGGGAGCTGGTTCCAGAACGTGGGCCCATGGAAGCAGAAGGAGCGTTCACCGATGGTCTTAGTTTTAGTTCTTGGGATTGAGAGGGTTCTACTGTCAATGGAAGAACGTAGTTGTCTTGTGGGGATGTAAGGAAGCAACAGTTCAGAGAGATAGACAGGAAAGTGAGGGTCAGTGAACGAGTTGAAGCAAAGATTGGCAGACTTGTATTTGATGCGAGAGGATATTGGAAGCCAGTGGAGTTGCCGCATGTGTGGTTGAATGTGGTCATGTTTCTTTAATTTAAAAATGAGTCTGCATGCTGAGTTCTGTGCCTTCTGAAGTTTTTCTATGTGGTGTTGAGGAATGCCTGAGAGAAGAATGTTACAGTAGTCAAATTTTGAAAGAATGAGTGAAGAGACGAGAGTTTTTGTGGCATCAAAGGAGAGGAGGTGTCTAATGGTGCTGATTTTTCTAATTTCATTATATGCTGATCTGCATATATTCGTGACATGTTTCTCCATGGAGAGGGTGTCCGTAAGCGTGACTCCAAGGTTTCTGGCAGAGGGAGAGAGTGTAATGTCAGAGTTGCCAATAGATATAGAAGAAGGAGCGAATGGAGGGAGAGGTTTGTTTTGAGAGTGGATGAGAAGGATTTCCGTTTTATCATCATTTAGCTTCAGTTTGTTGCAAGTCATCCAACGCTTTACATCGTCCACGCACTCCTGTATGCGAAGGATTGTGGCATCAAGTTGATCAGGAAAGCAAGAGTCACTGATTTGAGTGTCATCAGCAAAGGATTGAATGGAAACTGAGTGGTGGCTAATGAGAGATGATAGAGGTTTAGTGTAGAGGATGAAAAGGACCTCCAAGTCTAGACAACATTTAATTGCATACTCTTTTTAGATTTTGTTTTTTAAAATAATTATGTTTAAAAAAATATATTTTATTAGGGCAATAAATTATTAACTATTTAAAATTTCACACTATATTAGACATTTTTCAAACTCATCCAAGCAATGAGGATACATGAATTTTTAAAAGACTATCGGGGATTAGATTTGAAAAACCAAATCTCTTTATTGTAGCCTGCCCTATTTGAGCAATGCTTGATCCCTGCAGGTGCAAGACCTGTCCCTTGCCTATCTACGCTATTTCCTCGAACACATATTTTTATCCCGAAAACTTTTCTTTGATTTTTTAACTGATACATGTTTTAAAAATACTACAAAATAACAAAGTACAATACAGATTTCGTTGGTTGTGACTCTGTTACTTAAATTTTTCTAAATGTATGATTTAGAAAACTATTAACTTGCAGGAATGTCCGACAGTAATGTGGACTCAGAGTGAAGAAATCAAACAGTGATACTTCATTTGTCATTTGGTCTCTGTCCCCAGTTGTAGGAACGGATCCTGCTTTGTGGGCCCCGTCTGTGTCGGTGAAGACCTGGAACAATGGAACCATAGATATAAAGTTTACACTCCCACCTCCTGAGTTCAACCTTACAATGTTTGAGATTATGATGTTCAAGAAGTCAGAAGGCTGGTCAAAAGCGTATAAAACTGTAGAATACAATGGCAAAGTTAGTTGTAAACACTTGAGTTAACAATGGCAAAGTTAGTTGCAGACACTTGTGTTAAACTCTGGCAACAGAGATATAAAAAAAATGTGTGTCAAAATACTAGCAAAGTTAGTTGTAAACACATGTTACATGTACAGACATTATTTTAAGTCTGCCAATATTGCAGACGCACTGGTCGGAAAACGTTCTTCTGCAATTGTATCCCGTTAACTGGTAGCCGACTCTAGCAAGACTAGTTTCCCATGAATTTTCAAAATGCATATGTGATCAGCTATTGTTTTGTTTCTTAGACTATGCATAAGGGAATGTTTGTGTCAGCAGTTGTTGTTTTGTTTGTTAGACTATGCATAAGGGAATGTTTGTGTCAGCAGTTGTTGTTTTGTTTGTTAAGACTATGCATAAGGGAATGTTTGTGTCAGCAGTTGTTGTTTTGTTTGTTAGACTATGCATAAGGGAATGTTTGTGTCAGCAGTTGTTGTTTTGTTTGTTAGACTATGCATAAGGGAATGTTTGTGTCAGCAGTTGTTGTTTTGTTTGTTAAGACTATGCATAAGGGAATGTTTGTGTCAGCAGTTGTTGTTTTGTTTGTTAGACTATGCATAAGGGCATGTTTGTATCAGCAGTTGTTTTGTTTTTTAGACTATTCATAAGGGAATGTTTGTGTCAGCAGTTGTTTTGTTTGTTAGACTATGCATAAGGGAATGTTTGTGTCAGCTGTTGTTGTCTTGTTTGTTAGACTATTCATAAGGGAATGTTTGTATCAGCAGTTGTTGTTTTGTTTGTTAGACTATTCATAAGGGAATGTTTGTATCAGCAGTTGTTTTGTTTGTTAGACTATGCATAAGGGAATGTTTGTGTCAGCTGTTGTTGTCTTGTTTGTTAGACTATTCATAAGGGAATGTTTGTATCAGCAGTTGTTTTGTTTGTTAGACTATTCATAAGGGAATGTTTGTGTCAGCTGCTGTTGTCTTGTTTGTTAGACTATGCATAAGGGAATGTTTGTATCAGCAGTTGTTGTTTTGTTTGTTAGACTATGCATAAGGGAATGTTTGTGTCAGCAGTTGTTGTTTTGTTTGTTAGACTATTCATAAGGGAATGTTTGTGTCAGCTGTTGTTGTCTTGTTTGTTAGACTATGCATAAGGGAATGTTTGTATCAGCAGTTGTTTTGTTTGTTAGACTATTCATAAGGGAATGTTTGTATCAGCAGTTGTTTTGTTTGTTAGACTATTCATAAGGGAATGTTTGTGTCAGCTGTTGTTGTCTTGTTTGTTAGACTATGCATAAGGGAATGTTTGTATCAGCAGTTGTTTTGTTTGTTAGACTATGCATAAGGGAATGTTTGTGTCAGCTGTTGTTGTCTTGTTTGTTAGACTATTCATAAGGGAATGTTTGTATCAGCAGTTGTTTTGTTTGTTAGACTATTCATAAGGGAATGTTTGTGTCAGCTGTTGTTGTCTTGTTTGTTAGACTATGCATAAGGGAATGTTTGTATCAGCAGTTGTTGTTTTGTTTGTTAGACTATTCATAAGGGAATGTTTGTATCAGATGTTGTTGTCTTGTTTGTTAGACTATTCATAAGGGAATGTTTGTGTCAGCTGTTGTTGTCTTGTTTGTTAGACTATGCATAAGGGAATGTTTGTATCAGCAGTTGTTGTTTTGTTTGTTAGACTATGCATAAGGGAATGTTTGTATCAGCTGTTGTTGTCTTGTTTGTTAGACTATTCATAAGGGAATGTTTGTGTCAGCTGTTGTTGTCTTGTTTGTTAGACTATGCATAAGGGAATGTTTGTATCAGCAGTTGTTGTTTTGTTTGTTAGGCTATTCATAAGGGAATGTTTGTATCAGCTGTTGTTGTCTTGTTTGTTAGACTATTCATAAGGGAATGTTTGTATCAGCAGTTGTTGTTTTGTTTGTTAGACTATTCATAAGGGAATGTTTGTATCAACTGTTGTTGTTTTGTTTGTTAGACTATTCATAAGGGAATGTTTGTATCAGCTGTTGTTGTCTTGTTTGTTAGACTATTCATAAGGGAATGTTTGTGTCAGCTGTTGTTGTCTTGTTTGTTAGACTATTCATAAGGGAATGTTTGTGTCATGCCGACATTCTCCTAGCTGACGTTCATTTTCTTCTTCACTCTTTGCAGGTCTTCTCGCTGGCTGCACCAGAAGGTTCTTTAAAGTTCACCAACCTACCCTCAGATTGTTATCAAATTGTGGTGTGTGGGGTATTCCTACTGTCAACTCTTGTTTAGATTGGTCATGGCTTACACACATAATGCATTGTATAAGATAACCATTTATATTATTTTTACCAGTAAAGTACTGGTTTCGTTGGACATTGGTCCTGGTTAGTCGTGAGTCGTAACAATTATAAAAGTATAAAATAAATAAATGAATAATTTATCAAAATATCGATAAAGTCTGAAATGGATGCATAAATAAATAACACAATAAAAATTAATTAATTATTCCAAACTGGCATCACGGTGTTTTTGTCGAGGGAAGCCTCGAAGACAGAAGAATTTTCCCAGCAATCTTTTAGAACTGTTTATTTTCGGACACTCATGACGTCAAAACGCCGTTCATCGCTGGTTTTAAAAAGCTTCTTTCCCGTGGGCAGTGGTCAGTGAATTTTTTATTGAAGGTCTGACCACTTGTAGTCATTGCTGTTAGCATTAGGTTTCACATATTCCACGGCAGATCATCGTGACTGGCCTAATCGGCCCTGTTACCGCCCGTGACTGGCTACTCGGCCCTGTTACCGCTTTATCAGCTTAATTTTTTTTTTTTTTTTAAAAAGTATATTAAATTTGGTTTGTCCATGACTAGTTTTGCTACACACTGCCTCTCTACATACACTTCCTGTATTCTTTCTGTGTATATGCAACTGCATTCTACTATGTTTACAAATTCCCCAAACATCGTAGCGAAGCACGGGTGTTCAGCTAGTTTATATAATATAAACATGTCAGTTTTTCTCCATAAAGTTAAAGTTCTATCAGTTTCTTCATATTCTTCAGGTGAGTCCAATAGATTCGTACCGCCACGAGAAACATTGCCTTTGTTGGAAACATGATCAAGCCAACACGAGATTCTGCGAGGCTTCATGTGCTAGGACCCGTACTGAAATATTTTACTTGAATGTCACCAAGTCACACAAAGGTGTTGAGATTCTTTCTCAGGGTGAAGGAAGATTTTAATTGTCATGTAATAAGAAGATGTCACCCCGTCAAATGATTTTCCTTTAAAAAAAAAATATGCTCATAGTGATCACGTGACCCTTTAAATGTGTTGATGTTTTAAAGAAAATTCATTTATGATTGGAGAAATTCACGAACAGATGAAATAAATATTCGATCTCTTTAAAATGTGTGCCCAAACTCTTCAAACTAAAGTTAGTATGATATGACATTGAATGATATGACATTGAATGGTTTAATTCTAATGTTTCAGCTGGCCCAGATTACGAAGAAAATAGCTACTATGAGATGATGCCAGGCTATGATGACGATATAGAGGTCACAAGCATGACGTCCACCACCTACGAGCTGGCCGAGCTTTTGCCGTCTACCATTCAACGTACAGACAGCGCCCTGATAGGCGGGCTTGTTGGTGGCTTTGCATCTGCCTGCTTGTTTTCATTACTGATCATCGTCTGCCTCGCTATGAAGAAGCCAGAATCACGTTAGTACAGCATTTAACACACTCCAGAATCACGTTAGTACAGCATTTAACACACTCCAGAATCACGTTAGTACAGCATTTAACACACTCCAGAATCACATTAGTACAGCATTTAACGCTCTCCAGAATCACGTTAGTACAGCATTTAACGCACTCCAGAATCACGTTAGTACAGCATTTAACACACTCCAGAATCACGTTAGTACAGCATTTAACACACTCCAGAATCACGTTAGTACAGCATTTAACACACTCCAGAATCACATTAGTACAGCATTTAACGCTCTCCAGAATCACGTTAGTACAGCATTTAACGCACTCCAGAATCACGTTAGTACAGCATTTAACACACTCCAGAATCACGTTAGTACAGCATTTAACGCACTCCAGAATCACGTTAGTACAGCATTTAACACACTCCAGAATCACGTTAGTACAGCATTTAACGCACTACAGAATCACGTTAGTACAGCATTTAACGCACTACAGAATCACGTTAGTACAGCATTTAACACACTCCAGAATCACGTTAGTACAGCATTTAACGCACTCCAGAATCACGTTAGTACAGCATTTAACGCACTACAGAATCACGTTAGTACAGCATTTAACGCACTACAGAATCACGTTAGTACAGCATTTAACACACTCCAGAATCACGTTAGTACAGCATTTAACACACTCCAGAATCACGTTAGTACAGCATTTAACACACTCCAGAATCACGTTAGTACAGCATTTAACGCACTCCAGAATCACGTTAGTACAGCATTTAACACACTCCAGAATCACGTTAGTACAGCATTTAACGCACTCCAGAATCACGTTAGTTAAACACTTAACACACACACAAACAACAACAGCAACATTTTCCTTGTTGCAATTTTAGCTCCACTTGTCTTCCTAGTCCTAGCTGATTACACATTAACTTAGGCCAACCATGATTGCACCTTGACCTAAACCTACCATGATTGCACATTTACGTATGCATTATGCCATGATTACACATTAACAGGCCTACGAGGACAATATCAATCATAGGCGCCCACAGGAATTTTCTCAGGAGTGGGGGGGGGGGGGTCAACAAACTTTGATAATTCTTTTACATAACATACACATATAATTGAAGGCTAAAGTGCGAAGGCCTGTGTATTAGTATTAATAATACTTTTTACAGGCACAAAACAGTCATTTTGAACCAAAAAAATATTCATTTCTTAACATAAATTATCAAGTTTATAATATAAAGTGCGACTAATAGACTCGCACATTTCTTGATAATCCCTTTTCAAATATTTCAAATAATTTCTGCATAAACCCTGCCTTATTTCCGTTCACACTTAAACGATGTACACTAAGCCAACACAATCCTGAAAAACGTTCGACAGTCATTGTCGAAAGAAGCCAAATGTTGACTCGTCTGAGGGTACGAAAGGAACGCTCCACGGTGCAGGTTGACGTTGATCAAGTCAATGCAATAACAATAGTTTGGCGGATAGATGGGGATACAGTCTGTACCTGTCAGCGAATCGATAAGCTGCAGGTTATTTTTAATATCTCGTGAATGTTGCTGCACGCTCCAAAAATCAAACCAGTTCATTGCTTCAATCTCAAAGTTTTCAACTGAGGACAAACTAGCATTAATGCCAACGCTCTTCCTAAATTCAAGACCATTAAGACGTGTCATGATAGCAGGCTGAAATGTAAATAGTTGGAACTGGGGACTTTTGTTTCCAGAGATACGGTTGGTCAGAGAGGATATTGTAGAATCCAAGTGAGGAATAACTATTGTGTGTCTAAAGTAGTCTTCTTCAGAGTCGGGATCTTCACTCTTGTCATTTGAATTTCTAGGATTGCTGCGATATACTTTTCATCGACAGATACGAGGGCTCTTCATCTCAATGTTAACTAAAGCTGCAAGAGCCAAGTCCACAGATACGACGGCTCTTCATCTCAATATTCACTAAAGCTGCAAGAGCCAAGTCCAAAGATACGAGGGCTCTTCATCTCAATGTTAACTAAAGCTGCAAGAGCCACGTCCACAGATACGAGGGCTCTTCATCTCAATGTTCACTAAAGCTGCAAGAGCCAATTCCACAGATACGAGGGGTCTTCATCTCAATTTTAACTAAAGCTGCAAGAGCCACGTCCACAGATACGAGGGGTCTTCATCTCAATATTCACTAAAGCTGCAAGAGCCAAGTCCACAGATACGAGGGCTCTTCATCTCAATGTTCACTAAAGCTGCAAGAGCCACGTCCACAGATACGACGGTTCTTCATCTCAATGTTCACTAAAGCTGCAAGAGCCAAGACTTATTTCATCATTTTTTGTCAAACTGAGTTTCAACACCCTGACGTTGTTCACGGAAAATGCCCGGTAATTTACAAATATCTTTATGTACACATATCGAATCCAGCTGTATCGCTTGTAATGATCGAGTTGCTGGTTCCAGTCTCCCTAAGTATGGAAATATAATCCAAAGACATACGAGAAACGTAGGTGAAGAACATGAACTCAATAGCTGGTGATCATCTGTACCAATGCCATTTGTTGCCAGATTGTGCAATTGATTGCATGTCACCAAGAAATTCTCACTGAAATGCAATTGCTTTTATATTTTGTAGACCATCGATTTTCACGGTACAATGGAACGTTAGGTATTAACGACCTTCGCTTTATGCTTTCTAGAAAATACTTAATGACAGCTTTGATTGCACCAATGGCGTTACGCACTTAAATGAATTCAAAGCATTAACCTGCTGTTTCATCGGCTGACCTTGAGATTCCTATAAGAAATATTTACTAATGTAATAAATTGATTCTTGATTACTTCAACACATACCTCTATCAGCTGATTTTGGATCCTGTGAGAATTATAACGAGCATTACCAAAGTACGTATGTAAATGTGTCTCCAGGTCTTTGTCGCCAGAGTCCACTCTAAACTGAAACAGGTCATGATTATTTCCACTGTCACTATTTTTGACCAGAAGTCTGACTATTTTTGACCAGAAGTCTGACTATTTTTGACCAGAAGTCTCATGTCGTGTGTGCCGCAGAAAATGATTGTGGATTATATCGGCAAAAGTTTATTTTGATTTTCTAAATTCTTATTAGAAATAGCCTCGTCTGTCTGACTTCCTGGGTTCCTAATAATTCTCAAGAATGCTGATACATCCTGCTGAGCACCTTTGTGCATCTCATTTTCCACATGATTTCGAGCACCTTGAGGAAAGTCATTGTAATTAGTGAAAGGTGTTGCTGCAAATGTGCCCTGGTACCCGCGATGAATACGGGATAACAATACAATATATATAAATGCTGGACCTCTAAGATGACTAAATTAGGCAAGGCACGGAGAAAAATTATCAAGCCACGCATACCGAAAACAACGTTTGCCAGGTCTACCCTCATTAAAATTATAACTAGCTATTGGTCGTATGGGTTTTGTCGGTAAACGATATTTCAAAACATCTGACAGTTTAGATGGTGACTGAAAATATCGACCCAACTCAAGATCATTGATTGCCATATCACAGCCAAAATTATTATGTGTTGATATTTCAGTGTCAAATCTGAGTGACGCCGATAGCGATGAATCGCAGCTCTGAGAACCACTGGCAGCAGCTCCAAACTCCTGTGAGTGTGAAATGGTCAGGACACTCATTTTAGTTTGTTCTTTAACCTGTTGGAGATCTCTTGTCAGTGTCGTTGATGTGGACACAGTTGTTGGGTTACAACATGTCTTACACTCATCATCATCAAATGACTTTTTCTGTAATTCAGCCCACAAGGCACTTAACGTTTGATCCTGCTGAAGTGCACGTCTGCTCCTGTTATCCATATTAATTGTACTGGGATTCACAAATCTGTGTCTATACCTAGGTTTATCTTTGACTACGATTAGTACCAAAGTAGTACTAGTGCGCCTATCACTTCAGAATAGCTGTCCACGAATCTCTAACTCTACTACCAAGTACTACTCGTGTCTCGAAAAACTGTTTACTTATATTTCCCATCGTGTGAGCATAAAGTCTACTAGATACGCGTCAGACGGTAATTGAATTGCTACATCATTAAAGACAACATCCTCCCTACCAGATCCTGTACCCCCGCCCCCCTCGAACCCTATACCATGTCTCTACCCACTTACTAGCATCTATCACGTAGAGGTGTTCGAACCCTATACCATGTCTCTACCCACTTACTAGCATCTATCACGTAGAGGTGTTCGAACCCTATACCATGCCTCTACCCACTTACTAGCATCTATCACGTAGAGGTGTTCGAACCCTATACCATGCCTCTACCCACTTACTAGCATCTATCACGTAGAGTTTTTTTTTCTGTCACTGATAATTAATCGAGCGGTTCCCATGGTCTTCGGAATATTCCACTTTTACCAGCTAACGAAAAAACTTATTCATCGAATTAATTCGTGCTACCCGTTCCCACACTGTCCACATGGTATCTCCCTGCGTACCAAGCTATCATGTCATCCCTGTGCTACCATAAACTCTGCCGATATCAGGTTAACTACTCCCTCATATACTATACCTTTGTCCGGTACTTACGCCCAACATTTCCGTTCTCAGCCCTTCTCCTTTGTGACATATCAAAAGAAATACTATTTATTTTTATATAAACTATTTTTATATTCATTTGGGCAAAGTGCAACTATTAATATATTTTAGTATTAATTTATTTTTCCAGTGGGGGGTATGTGACTCACCTTGACTCCTACTGCGGGCGTCGATTGTAACAATAGATGATGAGATCAACAACCGAATTTCCAAAGACAATTTTGAATGTGGAAGGGCCTTAGTTTGGGGGAGAAGGGGCCTTAGTCTTGTCACTAAATTGAACGCATATAGGGAAATAGTATAACTTCTCTCCTATTTGCTAGCGAGACGCGGACAATGCGCAGAAGACATGTTGGACAGCTGAGCCATTTCCAACTACGCTTTCTACGTAAACTTTTTAGTATGTTGTGGCAAGTCAAAGTCTTTGATACATAGGTACTAGAACGGGCTGACCGTAACAGCATTCACGTGCTCCTACAAAAAGGACAAGCCAGATGAGCAGGGGGTGTTGCAGTTGGCACAAGACCCCCCCCCCAAAAAAAAAAAAAAAAAAAAAAAAAAAACCAACAACAACAAAACAACAACTAATGTTAGGTCAACTCTCCAGAGGAAAAACTCTCACCTAGTGGGTACCAAAAACAACCAAACAACGCTTCTAAGACAGTCTAAAAGCTACACTCAAATTCATGAACAATGACCTTGATTCGTGGGAAACACTTGCCATGGATCGTGCAAGCTGGCATGGCAGACTCACTGTTAGAGCACAATCCTCAGAGAATAAGCGCACCACTCACGCCCAAATCCAACTAGTACCCAAAACAACACGTGTCCCACATGCGGGAAAGCTTTCAAGGCACAAATAGGATTGGCGGGCCACCTGAAAACTCACCGTGGAGTAAATCCTTGGTCATCTTCACATGCGAAGAACGAACAACAACTTCATGAATACACATTAACTTAAGCCTACCATTAATACACATTAACTTAAGCCTACCATTATTACACATTAACTTAAGCCTGCCATTAATACACATTAACTTAAGCCTACCATTAATACACATTAACTTAAGCCTACCATTAATACACATTAACTTAAGCCTACCATTATTGCACATTAACTTAAGCCTACCATTATTACACATTAACTTAAGCCTACCATTATTACACATTAACTTAAGCCTACCATTATTACACATTAACATAGCTCAGTGGAACTTGAATATCTTTGAATAAAACATTATTTGATGAATGATATGGTGTACATATGACCTTATTCCATTTTAATCATTGAACCCAACAGTTCAACATTCTAATTCAACACAACAGTTAAATCATTCAATCCAACATTTAAATATTCAACCCCCACAGTTAAAACATTCAACCCCCACAGTTAAAACATTCAACCCCCACAGTTAAAACATTCAACCCCCACAGTTAAAACATTCAACACCCACAGTTAAAACATTCAACCCCCACAGTTAAAACATTCAACCCCCACAGTTAAAACATTCAACACCCACAGTTAAAACATTCAACCCCCACAGTTAAAACATTCAACCCAAAGTTTAAACATTATCAAATCCAAAATTTGTTCATGTTTTTATTTTATTCCTAAGGTCACAAGTTAAACAGTGGAAGCTATTAATTTAACGAATTTGGGGAAAATGGTGAACGACATCATCTTGCGGAAGTAAACATCCCAGAATTCATCAATTACAAAAAAATAGGCCTAGAAGGTAACATCTCAGAATTTATGAAACACAATAATAGGCATGGAAGGAAACATCTCAGAATTCATGAAAGACATTAATAGGCCTGGAAGGAAACATCTCAGAATTCATGAATCACAATAATATGCATGGAAGGAAACATCTCAGAATTCATGAAAGACATTATTAGGCCTGGAAGGAAACATCTCAGAATTCATGAAATATAATCATAGGTCTGCTAGAGAACATCCAATCAAACTATGGAACTACATTATAGCATCCCAAGTTATAAATAGATTCACAAAACATTTAGAAATAATAGGTTGACATACATGGTAAATAAATTGGATTTTTTTTATAAATATTTATGAGATAAACATCTCAGCTCTATATCATGTGAACGGAGTGGAGCAAGGAGTGGAGCCGTGTGATTGTGTAACAAATGGGTTTGGGGATACACTTGGAATATTCTAAAAAGTATCATGAAAATATGGTGGATTAACAAGTTTTAATGCTCCTTTGTTTGACGTTGTCAATGTTGACGTTGTCAATGTTGTGTACAAGGCTGACAATTTTTGTAGAGCTTTGTCAGGAGAATATAATACAGAGAGGTCTGCAGCGATTGTAAACGAAACAATGACCCAATTCGAAACGTGTTTTTTTTGTTTTATTGTGTGGCCATTTTAAATAATTTGTTTTAACCAGAACTTTTTTTTTCTTTTTCTTTCAAGTGGATGCACCATTGTAATGAACTAATCTGGAATTTCATTAAAATGAATGTTTATCATGTTACCAGTGGGGGGGGGGTGTGTGTGAGAAATACCACAAACAGAATTCAGGTATTTATAACATGTTTCTTGAAACAAACTTAATTTCAATTTCCTGTAATTATAAAAATGAACAAAGTAATATGTCATCAACGACCAACCAGATATGTTCTTAAATATTAGGAAGAAGTTATAATTGGCTTTTGCTTGGAAGGTTAGCAAAATGAGATATTTTGGTAATTAAAATATTCTGGAAAATCATTTGTTAATTTTTTTTGTATACAGTTATTTTACCATTTTGTCAATCTTTAAGTTCTGGGCCAACTTTGAAAGCTATTTTGGCTTGATTCTTGAAGGAACTTTGGGATTATTGTTTAATGGAATGGAACTGACAGGAGCTCATTAGCACCAGAGCATAGGACAGATGCTTGAATAATAGCCCCACAGTTTTGGATTCAGCAAAGTTATTGAACCTATCATTGCTTGACTATCAGGTAACCTGTGATACACCAATGACTGAACAGGTGTTTTTTTAAGCAATTTTAGGAATTACCTCCAGCAAAGGCAAAAAATATCTGCTTGTCCTATAATTGAATATCTTCCAAAGAGTTGACACAATGCAACTTTCAATCAACTCTGCTCTTCGTTGCAATCAACTAGGTGGTCATCCAAAAGACTTTTTCTGAACATGAATCTTTATTACTGCAAAAAAACTCCTTTAACAATAATAGAATACAGTTGATGTGCTTTATTTTTAATGCCACAAAAAAATAGGCCCTAATATGAAAATAATGTCATATTCAGTGAAAATATAAAAAGATCACTTTTAATTTTGATGAATGGCAAATTGCATATTTAAAGACAAAGTTTGGATGCAGTATAAACAAATAAAACTTATTTTCATAAAGCAAATTAACATCATACAAGTGTGATGTGAAGAGTTATTTATAAACATAATATTTTTATTTGACTATTTTAGACATTTCTTTAAAAAAATGCAGACCTGAAATAAATAATTGATATAGCGGAATGAATTTCATACAAATGATCAGCAGAAAACTTTGAAAGTCCTTTGGTATGATGAGAAATTATTATTCATACTTTAAAAACACTACAGTGAGCCTGTTTTCTTTACTCTCCAATAATCTTAACCTTTTAATAATCACATTTTGCATGTGTGAATACTTATAGATATCAAATTTTGTATAAACCATGTGTAGGGTGCTTTTCACTAACTTTCAAAAAATGTGTATAAAAAATTAGTATGTAAGACCTATCCATGTAACAGGCCTAACAACTGTTTGTCTATTAAAATGAGCTCAGGAAGATAGATAAAAAAAACTTCTTTAAGTTTTACACTGCTTTTGAAACTATTATTTCTTTTCTTCTAGTAAATTTAACAGCAATGAGATTACATTACTGTCATACATTTTGTGTAACTTTAACTTTACAAACAGCAGAGAAAATCTAATCTTAGAGTTAAAATACAGAGATAAGATGTCCCCTTACAACTGTTGTAGTTTTAGTAACTTCAGTAATTACATTAATTAATTACATTTTAAGACAATGTAGGTATTTTATTTTTAAAAATATTTTCCCTACTAATAAATACTTAATTTTTTTTTTTAAATAAAAGAAGTTAATCTGCAGGTTAAAGCACCAAAAACAAAAATTCAAGACAGGAAAGATTGAACAAAATTGATTTAATTGATCAGGACGAGAACAAAGAAATGATAATTTTAATACTTGTCATTGATTTATGTGGACTGAACTGTAGGCAGAGATAAATGAAGGTGATACTGTCAATGTTATATATACAAGTATGGTTTATATCTCTCATACCCAGTAAGTTAGTCAAAACATGAAGATAAAGTATTAACTTTGTGCACTGAAAGAGCAAGTATTCCTGAGAAACCTTTTGGCAAATTACAATACTGTAATAGTCATTGTAATAAATCAATACTAATGACATGCACGGCTGAGACCCACATGGAGACATTATAGAATCTTTCAACCACTGCAAACTTCAACCCATCTTCCTGATCCACTGTCATGCGAGAAACAAAGCCATCTGGATTCAATGGAACATCACATGCATGCTGTAGGTTACGTACCAAACATTCATGGTCCAGAGAGTCAAGATAGCTGATAAACAGGAACCCTGGGATCCATAAAAATAAATTGGTTTAGTTTCACAAGGAACAGTAAATATAGGAGAGTATATTTTCATTTTGCAAGGGGGTCAATAAATATAAAAAAAATTAAAATTTGTTTCAAAGTGATTAATTAATTAGCTTGATTAGCTTCAAGGGGATAAATAAATATAAAATAAAATAGTTGAAAAGGGATCAAAATAATTTGTTCCTAGCCCTGTCTAAAACCCGACAATAAATCTTGACATGTTTTATAAATGTAATAATTTAAAAAAAAGAATATTCTAGAGCTGTGTCACAAATTTAGGGGTGGGGGGGAGAGAGAGTTTCTTTGACTGGGGTCACAGGCCAAAACAGTGAATTAAAAAATTCATGATTTTAAATACATTTTAATTTGTCTTGATAAAGTTTAAATAATTTAATCATACCCCAATTTTAATACCTGTATTTTCTTTTAACGATAAAAAAATTAATATATCAAGGTTGTGAGTCTCTTTGCTTCTATAAATGGGGTTACAACATACACAAATTTGGGGACCTGTGCTCTAGATACTTAATAGCAGATGATTAAAAAATACAATGGTCAAAGTTCACACATTGTATATAACTAGTTAGAGCAGGAAGGGTAGCCTAGATCCCCTTTGCCATTAGAGCATGGGTAGGCAGCCTAGATCCCTGTGCCATTAGAGCATGGGTAGGCAGCCTAGATTCCCTGGGCCATTAGAGCATGGGTAGGCAGCCTAGATTCCCTGGGCCATGAGAGCATGGATAGGCAGCCTAGATCTCCTGGGCCATTAGAGCATGGGTAGGAAAGCCTAGATCCCCTGGGCCACTTTTGACATGCTGACACATTTAATATGGGAACTGGATTAATGTGTTTTGTAATATGCAAAAATTGTCAATTATCTGTAAAAGCCATTGAAAATTAATAAACAGTGTAGAATTTCCAAACTATAATTGTAGTTTCACCAACTAGTTATCAGATGTTAGGTATTGCACTATAATTATTTTTAAAATGTTAAAAGTTTGTTAAATTTACTTAGAACTCTTGGTTGCTTGAAAATTATGCCATGTCATGTCATAAAAAAATAATGTGGCACTCTGCACAAAACAGGAGGCCGATTGCTGAGTATGAATAGTACAAACAATTTACCAAAGTCTGTGATGAATGCAAATAAATGTCCTTGAAGGATAATATCCATAATCCTGAAGAGACTGTATTTAAGAATGGGACAATGAGTTTCTTCCAGCTCTGATAGATCCAGTTGCTGCCAATCAGCTAAAGTCATGACATCACTAGTTAACACATGGGTTGTTTCAATATCTCCATCATCTGAAAAGTTCAAAAAACATTTTATTGTTAAAACTGACATTTTGGCTCTCTGTTGTGTCTGTGTTAAAAGTAAACTATATTCATTTTGCATTACATTTTAAGCTGTTTTAAATAAATAGTTCCAACAAATCAATGAATAGAAACCATGACTGGATTTGTTTCAGTGCTAATAAATCACTTTGAAAAAATAAAAACTGTGCTGTAAATTAAAAAAAAAAAGTTTTTCTGGACATAGGCAAAATGCACCTGGAAAAAAACAAATGTTTTTCCAGATTCTCTAGATGTGCTAGCATTTCAAATTTAACACAACAGATTACTTAGCTTAGTGACCTAGTCACTTGATTCTAAATAAAATTTCATTAGGAATTCGGCTCTTTCATAAATGCTTAGCAGTGCCAACTATAGGTTTATGTACCCTTGGCCAGTTTTAAATATAACAAAGACAAAGTTAACAGAATTCTCCAGTGCCATAATAATTATTCATCTGCCATCAAGGATGACTTTCCATTTATCTCCGTTCTTCATGCTTTCCCATTATTTCCCCAGTGTTATCCTTTCCAATTGGCGCATATATGCCCACCATAAGTATGTATATATTAGGTGGTGAGGTTGCATTAAAAATTATCATATAGTAAATGTTATTTTTGCTTCAAATAGTCTGTAGTCTCCTATCTTCCAGCAACAGTATGTTCTCAACACAATGGTATTCCTGGTACCGGTAGTCTCCTATCTTCCAGCAACAGTATGTTCTCAACACAATGGTATTCCTGGTACCGGTAGTCTCCTATCTTCCAGCAACAGTATGTTCTCAACACAATGGTATTCCTGGTACCGGTAGGTAATTTTAATATTCCGGATATGTATCCACCCTCATGCATGACCAGCCTTTTTTCTTCTTCATGTTTTACTCAAAGCATTTCTCTGGGTCTGGGTGGGGTGTAACCCCACTCAATGCATCAAAAAGGTAGGGAAACAGTTTCCCATCCAAGGCTAACTAGCACCATCTGCACAAAGTTGTTGGCTTCAAGGCCCCCCCACCATTCACTTCTTAAAGATATCAGTTCAGCCAAGTTAAGAGACTCAGCAACACTGGAAGGTCATGTGCTGAGCTTCTATTATCAAATGCTATGAAAGAGAAGCGTGACATAAGAATGGTTTTGCTTCTCTTATAATAATGCTTTTAAAAAAGGATGAAATATTTTTAACCTGATTTAGAAGAATGCACTTACCAAACAGCACAATTATAAAGTCTCCCAACATTTTTACTTTAAGCGGCTCTTTGCTCATTGTGTATTGAAAGACAGGCACTATGTAAGCAGAGGCATTTTCAAATAAGCAGATAATTCTGTTAGTACATACTACCACCACCTATAGAATCAATGAAGTAACAGAACAAGTGATCTGCAATAATTTTGAGCTAAATAATAGATTTCACAAGGTTAACTTTAAACTTCAAATTTAAGCTAACAAAAATTTAAATATAGTTGTAAATTAAATTTTTGAAATATGTTGATTTTATATCAATTTTTAAATGAGAGATTTTTAACATACAAAATTATTCAATAAAATTGATCACCATTATACTAAGTTTTAGAAGGAAGGTATTTGATAACTACCTCCCAGCCTTCATTCTGATTTAATCCCCCCCCCTCCCCCTTAATTGATACAGATAAAAGATACAGTTAATGACAATGGTTTCTTACCCTATCTTCATTGTAAGCCAGTGATACAACGCCAATTAAACTCGTCTTTAAGGAAATGGTTCTGATCAAATCAACATCTGAAGAATGTTTATAACTGAAAATCCTGATGTCTTTCTCCTCATAAAGACATTCTCTGCGGTAGATTATGCAGGTGTCACCCCATACACTATTTTATTGATTTAAAAGCAATAAAATTGTATTTTAATTTGACAGAACAACCTATGCGTTTAAGACAACATATAATCTTGCAAAGCATTTGCTTAATATTAAGTTTGAAAATGTTTATTTGATTGGATATTCATTCAGACAAATATATATTATTTAAAATTAGTTGCTGCTGCACTGATTTAGTGAGATATAATCCCTTTTATACACTTGATAGAGAGCTAGAAAATAAACATGTATAGATACAAAATATGCAGTTTTCATTTTCAAAAGTAGTATGCACTGACCAGTACTAATAAGTGAAGGTAGGGCACTGACCAGTGCAGGTACTTAAACTTCTCCCGGAGAATCTCATGGGTAAATTATTGCCAAGTATTTGCAACAGTTGCACAACCAAAGTTGTCAAATGTAAGTTTAATCCCAACAAACTGAAAGTGTCTAGCATACCTCATTTGCAACAGTTGCACAACCAAAGTTGTCAAATGTAAGTTTAATCCCAACAAACTGAAAGTGTCTAGCATACCTCATTTGCAACAGTTGCACAACCAAAGTTGTCAAATGTAAGTTTAATCCCAACAAACTGAAAGTGTCTAGCATACCTCATTTGCAACAGTTGCACAACCAAAGTTGTCAAATGTAAGTTTAATCCCAACAAACTGTAAGTGTCTAGCATACCTCATTTGCAACAGTTGCACAACCAAAGTTGTCAAATGTAAGTTTAATCCCAACAAACTGTAAGTGTCTAGCATACCTCATTTGCAACAGTTGCACAACCAAAGTTGTCAAATGTAAGTTTAATCCCAACAAACTGAAAGTGTCTAGCATACCTCATTTGCAACAGTTGCACAACCAAAGTTGTCAAATGTAAGTTTAATCCCAACAAACTGAAAGTGTCTAGCATACCTCATTTGCAACAGTTGCACAACCAAAGTTGTCAAATGTAAGTTTAATCCCAACAAACTGAAAGTGTCTAGCATACCTCATTTGCAACAGTTGCACAACCAAAGTTGTCAAATGTAAGTTTAATCCCAACAAACTGAAAGTGTCTAGCATACCTCATTTGCAACAGTTGCACAACCAAAGTTGTCAAATGTAAGTTTAATCCCAACAAACTGAAAGTGTCTAGCATACCTCATGAAAGCTCCCTTAGAAAAATCTCCAGCATGATTCAAACATACATAAGTTATCAAATCACCTGTTTCTGGAAGTTCTTCTTGCAATGGACAGCTGGCTTCTGTTTGGGTTAATAAACAATAGCTATCTAAGTATTCTATGGTTATTCTTGTTACATATTTACAGTGAAATGTGATTATTGGTGCTCATAAAATGACATCCCACTCATAGCAAGGTTTAACAATATTCTGTGCGAAGAGTGTATTGTGATAGTTAAGAAGATACAGGGTTTTGTTTTAAAAAATTTATTTTAAATATCTTGCTTTTAGTGAGATATGTCCGTTAAGCAGGGCTAGTTTTAGTCAATTTGTGATGGTGTTGTACAAGAATATATATTTTTTACTCCTTTGAGTAATTGTGAAAAAAAAAAGAGGGAATTTCGGAAGCCATGCCACGACAGTACTATATCTAAATTTGCACTATAGAACAGCATTAATGGTAAGTGAATTTCCATGGCACCAGAAAATTAAACTTTCTCAAACTACATTCTAACCTATTGTCCTGAGAATAATATCACTATTACTAGCTCCTTCAATGACTAGAGATGCTGGAGACAATATTAAATCACAGCAAGGCAATTGTGATTCTGGGTTGGCAGACTTCATATGAGCTCTTCGTCTCATCCTGTCTGCAAGGTGTATGAAATTACCCAACTTTGGGCTAATGATAAGAAACAAATGATTATCTGTAGAAAAAAGAAATTTAACATTTGCCATTGAGAAAGTTGTTAAAATACATTTTCAAAAGTTAATACCTACTATCAAATTGGTTGTTTATGTATGCAATAATTTTTACATTTAGGCGTGCGGCTTGTGCACCACGTAACATTAGCCTGCTTGTTTTTCTAAATGTACTTAAGAGAAATTTATTATATTCATTTCTATGTTATTTGTATTTAAAAGATCTGTGATTGCCATTTTAGCCTTGGACTTTCCAAAAAGTTTAAAAATCAATTAACTGTACTTGGCTACTACTATCACCGATGTCAGAATATATATACATAATCATAAATATTTAAATATATTATACCATCATTTTGAGAAACAAATAAGATGTGAAAGCTGGAAAGTCAAAAATAAACAAAACTAATATAATAAATTCGTGGTGACATTCATCAGACACATGTCAACATTAAAGATACTATCAATGAATAATGAAGGCAAACATTTAAAAGGATGCCTAAACATGCTGTTTCCCCTTAGCTGTCATTGTAAAGAAAAAAATCTGAAAAATAATGGCCTGTTACAAGATATGTAAATATGAAGAACATTATGTGAAAACTTAATACAAAAACAAGAAAACGGGTCAACTTTAGAATAAAAATCCACCCCCGAGCCAATTTCTCCCAAAAACCCAAACCTGACAGTGACCGAAATAAACATGCTGCTAACAATGGTGTTAAGGAAATAGACAAATAGGAAATAAACATGCTGCTAACAATGGTGTTAAGGAAATAGACAAATAGCAAGTAAACATGCTGCTAACAATGGTGTTAAGGAAATAGACAAATAGGAAATAAACATGCTGCTAACAATGGTGTTAAGGAAATAGACAAATAGCAAGTAAACATGCTGCTAACAATGGTGTTAAGGAAATAGACAAATAGGAAATAAACATGCTGCTAACAATGGTGTTAAGGAAATAGACAAATAGGAAATAAACATGCTGCTAACAATGGTGTTAAGGAAATAGACAAATAGGAAATAAACATGCTGCTAACAATGGTGTTAAGGAAATAGACAAATAGGAAATAAACATGCTGCTAACAATGGTGTTAAGGAAATAGACAAATAGCAAGTAGATGATTGTTGATGCAGTGCCAGATTCAGATCTGCAAAGGCCCTTAAAGAATCTAGATTTTATGGACCCTTTGCAAATTATCTCTGAATATTCATCATTTTTGTAATGATATAAACACTACAGTGTGAGATATGACTGGTGTCGAATCAGCATGTTTAAAGAAAAGTACTTAGATTACTGGAAATCCTTTATGATTAAATATCTGAACTCTAATTCACATTATTTAATGACAAGGTTAGGCATTCGAACTCAAATTTTCAAATATATCTGACATACACAAAGAGCATATCATTGGAAAAAGCTGGCTCTAAGCTTTCCAATGACACCAAGATAATCTTTCCATCACTTACAGGAGAAAAGTTATGAATTTTTTAGTGATTTATTTTTCCCCACTATTCGGCTTTGTATTTAATTTTTAAGACTGATCACATTATTACTCTTTTTGTACTATTTTGCTTGTATCTTTTTGGCTATTAAAGTTAGCGCTCTCAAATTTAGAGGAAACATTTACAATAAAATGTTTCACAAAACAAAACACATGAATTGTGAAGTAACATATTTGAAAAAATATGATTTTATTAGCACATGGCGTGGATAACGACAATTGTCGAAAAATTTAATTTTACAAAAAATGACATAATTACTAAACCAATAAAGCTATTGCTATAAAATTTTCAATACAAACAGATAAAGTTCATCTAAAAATAAGGCACATTTAAAATAAAATACAGATCAGAATTTTTTTTGCAAATTTAGAAAAAAATATTTGATGAAAAGCAGCAGCGGCCAAGAAATTTTTACACTAAAATACATAATTGTAAACTAATGAAGCTACTGCAATAAAACTTTCAGTAAAAATAGTTTGGGACAATCCTAATGTAACAGATTATTCAAATATTGCAAATGAAAATAAAATTATGCTATACAAAATTTTAAAATTTAAATCTGTCGACATTTTGATGTACTACATTTTTAAGCAGAACTTTTTAACTAGCAATGCTAATTCAATAAAATCTTCAGTACACCCTTCATATCCTTATCCCAACCCTGTAACACCTTCCTAGATTTCCTGGCTTCACCAATAGCAAATTAACAAGCCTCTCTTGTTACAAAATTGGTTTACTCGATAATCCATGGTTTTGTTGACCAGAGCTTTAACCTTGGCATCAACAAAACCAGTGGAAGAATTAGGGGCTCTTTTAAATTGGGCATCAAAACCCTCTCACTATGGATATTATGAACAGGGGCTGATGAGGTCAGGGTCATTAATTCTGCTTAAGGATTAGCCAGTTCCCAAACAAGATACGCCTCAAGCTGCCTGTCAGGACTGATACAAATCGTATAGACAGAGCAGCAAATTGGTCAATAGCAAATTGGGTTGTCTGTTGATCTTCTCTAGGTTGGCAATGCACGTCCCCATGTGTGGAATCTTCATTGATTAAAAAACAATGGAAAAAGCTAAAAATATTGACAATGCCATAATGATTTGGCATATTTAACAAAAATCACCATAAAATAGATCTGAAGTAAACAAAAAAAATCTCCTACCATCTCCAAATGCCTTAAACCTTCAGAGTTCCTGTAAAATTGAGTCATCCAGGGTCCAGTTACAAGTTTCCCAAAGAGACCTATCATGAGAAATGCAAAGTATTACTAGCATAAGAAACATACACATACAATTGAATATTAATTCGTGTCTATTTACCTGGTATGAAATAATGAAAATAGAAATAGAACTAGGTTACCTAAGACTCTTAGTTGAATAAGAATCTCATTGCAACAGATGTCATGCAGCAGGGCAATTCTCAATTTGACAGATGTACTGTATTTCTTAGGAACTGAGCCAGTATTTCTTTCATCTTAAAAATGACTCCTGCAAGGTGAAACAAAATGTGGAGTCTGTTGCCAATGTATAGAGGAAGAATTTCAGGTTTAATATTCTCCTTCTCCAGGAATGCTATCAACCCTGCAGGATCCCCAGATGACATCTTATGCCTGTGGAGGGGAAAAAAAACACAATTGTCTTTATGTGCTTATATGAAAATAAACATCAGAAATGTTTATATTAGTAAGTTAACTAAATCTAAGTAGTAAAACAAGCCATATTTAAAAATAAAAGATTAAAATGAAAGTTACCTCAGTTTAGATACAGCCTGTATAAGATTTGCAGCACATCCATCATTCCCATAATATGACATACCGGTGGTACTCCATGCAGTATCGAGAAGCTTACACTGCTTTCGTGCTTCGTAAGCCATTCCTTGCAGTGGGTGCAGATTGCACTTTAGTTGAACCAACTTCTTGTTCAACAAATCACCCAACTGCATTGAAACACATTGATTAACTTTCGCCCTGTCACTAAGAGTGCCACTAAAGGACTGCAAGATACGACGTAACACAACATGCTGATCCTCCTTGTATAAAGAATACAGGGTGGCTAGATCCTGAAGGGAGTTAACAAGTTGGTTCAGGTAGTCCTCTGTCTTACCTCCAGGAACTACAGCCACTTCAATGGTCAGGTTCTGTTCACCTGTAGAGATATGGCAAGCATTATAGTGCTGCCCATCAATTGGCGTAGAGTCCCAGGAGAAGGTGAGGTTTTCTGAATAGTACATGACATCAGCTACCTGAATATCTGACAAGATTGGATTCTAAAGCCATGTTTGCAATGGTTGAAGATCCTGGAATGTCGGTCAAGTCCAGTCCTGTTAACGTCTTCACTATAAATGCTATAAACACCTCAGCTCTTTCACCTGGTACTTGGTTTAGCAGGCAGTTGTGGATACATTTTCTCATTGGCGCAGCGTAGGCCTTTCTTTGTAGTTTCTTTGCAGTTGGTGAATGGCTTAGTGCACTTGTAGTCGGAATGGCTTCCTTACTTACTGTCTCCATCAAACTATCGATTCTTAGTAAATCTTTTCGTTCTTCATTGTTCACTTTTAATGATTTTTTTAAAGCTATATTTTCCTTTCTAAGCAAAGAGATGTGACGATCTAAAATCTTCTCTCGCTCCAGTTTTGAGATCTTGGCCAAACATTCAGTACATTTACTATGCTGCCTATCCACTTGAATCTGAGACTTCATTTCTTTCTTTAGTTTCAATTTATTAATAACTTCGGCTTTCCGTTTAAAGGATTGATTTAACACTCTCTGATCAAAGCGCTTAGAAAGAGCTTTAACCTTTGTATTTGTTTCTCTCAGTCTGTGCGCTAAACTTTTGCACTTGGAATGGTTTGCTTCTCTGAGAGAAGGACATTTCTCAGTCGGATCTTAATTTTGACAGGTGGTGAATTTAATATGGTCTCTTCAATGTTGTCGCCACTTTGAGTGATATCGGGTAACAACGGTCTCTTCTTGGTCTTATATATAGGTACACGAACAGGCCGCAGAAGCAAATCTTCTATAACACGCCAGCTTTTATCAACATTTTTCTTTAAGCCCTTAATTTTATCCACTAGATCATGTATACTGGTCCTTACAGCACTTTTATTTGGCACATATTTACTGTCTGATTCTTGGAAACATTTAACCAGTGTCTCTGTAGCATAAAAAAAGTTCTTTCCATTGCTGAAAAACACATGGACAATATAGCCATTTCTGTAACACTTAGTTACTGCATCCTCAGCGAAGCTTAACACACAGTTGTCAAAGTCATTTAGAGTTTTTTTAAATATTAACTTCAGCCATTTTCACTGTCTTCAAAGAGTTTAAGTCTTCAAATAGCTTAATAAAGAGCAGTGGAAGATAAAAAGGGATGGATAACAACTAGGTTAGACTGGAAAAAAAAAAAGAAGAAAGTTTGCAATTAAATCACGCAAATAAAAGAAATGTCCCTAGTATTAAAATTTATATTATTCATTAATTTAATTCTAGTATGATTATAGGTCTATCGATACACTCTTATAACTAGTACTAGTAGTTTATCTAATAATAGCAAATAAATACATTGTTATTGTTATGTTGAAGAAGAGGAATTCCTATTCGCAAATTTATCATTTTCTTATTTTATAAAGAATAATCGTACAAACAAATTTAAAACAAATTATTATTGTTTTGTATACATTTATATTGTTTAGTCATATTAGAATCAAAAACTTTTGTTTAAAAAGATGTTTAATGATTTAGAAATGTTTTATTTAAAATGTTTATTTCCAAATAATTTCACCTCCCTCCGGTCAATAAAATTATGTGTAAAAAATATGGCCGCCGTTTTTCATAACTTTTTGTTTTGTTTCGCTCTGCATTATAAATTCTAGAAAAGGCCATTAATATAAACAATAAATGCTTTAAATGTAATAGCTAGCCCTCTATAAAGCCCCCCAAACGTTAGAAAAAAATGGAGACGAGTTTCAACTTACCCACAGTTTGCGCTCCAACTGTTCGTCTGAGACAGGTCGGAATGACACAACATTTATACCATTGTGACCGGAATTCTTCAGTGAATAAACTTTAAGACTGAAACTTATTTTTAGAAAATGATCCATAGGAACGACAAAGCCCGACATATACCGAAACCCGCCCTTCGTGTCACAGAAACGTACCACGCAAAACCGGTTTTTTTTTACCGCGTCGTCCGGTATTGGAGTGCCTAAACAAGATGATGCACATTAAATTCTTTAACCACTGCTGGGTGATTACTATGTACAGCTTGTGCCATTTACTTTTTTCCCTTTCTGAGTCTTAATTTTATCATTCTATGCATGAAGGTGTCCAGAATGTCCATCCTTACTGTACATTACATTATTACTTACATTCAAGAACAGATCTATTCAACAAGAAAAATTGGAGCCTTTGTCATGGGCATAGCCTAAAGTGCCTTTTTTTGCTTTTTGTATCCGGCACTTTGTTGATGAGAACAATGGCACAACATATAAAAATAAATTATGTTTATCCCATGTTTATCAATTAAATTTAAAAACAAACCTTAACCGGCATATTTGGGGAACATACAATAACTGCATTAAACATTAGGTCTTCCCCTGTTAAGGTCCTAAAAAATTTCTAAAAATTTTCATGGTAAAATCCTGAGTCTATTAAAATATTCATCCTACTTCCAACCATAAGCTCACCAAGACTAAGGAGGCCTGGTATATTGCTATAATTCGTGCCTACACATGTTCACTATATTCATAAATCTATTATATTATACTTACAAAAAAACTTGACATCGTTTACCAACTGTGCACCTTCACTGTAGGTCAACTTTTTAGACACAAAGATTGTTTTTCCCTTTAATATTGATGTCCTGTACAGTCGTATGTAGAGACCTTTCCACAATATCAAGTCATTGTCATCAGAAGAAGAGATCCAGGGTGCTAGACATTCTATGCACGGACGCAAAAAATCTTGAAAAACAAACCTGAAACGGATAAAAATCTTTTTTGACAAGTTAATTTGGCTAATGTGAAGAGATAGCACCCTGAAGTTATTTGCGTGTTTTGTCCCTGGTTCTGAAAGGGTCAAAACCCAGGTTAGGGATAAGTTTAGGGTTCATGTTAGGTTTAGGGATTGATTTAGGGTTAAGGCAGGTTAGGTTAAGGGATAGATTTAGGGACATAAGTTCGCTGCCATGGTAAAAAAAAGGTGGTGCTACCCCTTCACATTTACCGTTAATTTAATTTTTAAAATAAAACTTCTTCAAAACCTTATTTTAAAATAAAATTAATTTTAAAAAAAAAAGGAAATGAAGTGCCTGAAGTATTTTTTGCATCTTACTGCCTTTTTTCCTTAGCCATATTATTAATATTATCCTTTACTTTACTATTGTATTTGTATTATATGTTTTGTTTACCAGTTTAATCCTGAGATTGGCTTTTAGTTGAAATTTTTAGCACTGTTTTGTCATAAATAAAGGTTCATCTCACTTCTTCCCTCACAAAATGTGATAATCTAGATGTGTATCAGTCAAACCTTATTATACTCAGTGTGGTGACGAACATTTTTGAAGAACTTTTGTTTACGGTCACAAGTACTCACCTTTTCCACACAGAAGGCTTTGACCTTCTTTCCAGATCATTTGCAACAGAATTACTGCGCTTTGAAGCTCGTTTAAAATTTGTGAAATCACATCCACCAATGTTCCTCAAGATTACTTGCAAAACTTCTGATGGGAGCTACATTTTAGAAAAATATTACAACACTCGGTGCTTACTGCTTACACTTAATTCACTTATAGATAAAATATTCTTAAAGGCTAATAATAATAATTTAACACTTATTACCAATAACTATTACTAACTAAGTAATAGTTATTCTTAATTTAACTTTTTGACTCTTTATCAAAAGTCTTCCATGCTCATTAATTATGAGTTTAAAAAAAGCCTAATTAATGATTATAATACTATAACGTAAATAAGGTATTCCAAATCATAAAGTTAGGCACATAAAATATAACTCATTATTGAAATTATTAACTGATTACTTTACAGTAATAGTTTGACCTAACTACTAAGCCTACTTGTATTACAACAAGGACAAGTTGAAGTTAAATTTAATAAATTTATTAAAATTAAAATTAAATATATAATAATATTTGACTTCGATCAAGTCAATGATATTCATAATTCTGCTACTGAGATAGTTAGTAATTAGCCTGTAAGGGTATGAAGTAAGGGTAATGTCTTATTTTAAAATATGGTTAGTGAAATCTTATTTAAGAACCGTCTGATTTTTTTTTTACGTAGAGAATACTATACTCACTGAATCCATACCTCCAGCTGACTACGCAAGATAAGATAAGATAAAATCAAAAGTTGGTAAACAACATTGCCAGATATTTTAAAATATTGAATGTTCACAAATTTTATAATGTGAACAGTCTTTCAATAAAACTCACAACATTTTACAATGTCAAAACACGATGTGTGGAAAAAGTCAAATTAGAATTGTTTTTTGTAAAAAAATATCCACTTTCAACGAGAACGCGATTATTTCTGTAAAAAAAAAAAAAACTAAAAAAAAAAAAAAAAAAAAAAAAAAAAAAAAAAAAAAAAAAAAAAAAAAAAAACAACAAACAAACAAACTTTAAGGCCTTAATATGTTTATACTTCATTGTGTTTATGTTTCTTAACATGGCTAGTTATGACCATGGTAGGGCTATTAATTGGATATTGCGAAAATGGAAACTATTACTGCGTATATTAAAACTAAATTCCCGTCCTTTGCTACGATATTAGGGTACCGGAGAGCGCCGTATGCCATGACCCACTAGTCTAGAGTTCTCGTAGGTCGTGCGTAGGCTCGAGTTTCGCTTATCCGCATAAACTTAGACTTAGTGTCTCTGTTGTGAAGACTCTGACTTGTCTCGTTTTAAAACTCTGCCTCGCGTGTTGTTGGGGAGGGGGGGGAGGTTTACATCGACCGTCGACCCTTATGTCAAACTGCAGGTTTTCTGTGCACGAATCACAGCCTAAAACTCAATATCCCCCCGTTTTCCATTGATGTTTTAAAATAATCTTTTATGTAGCCTCTGGATTGTGATCAAGCATCCAGCAGCTTTTTTTTTTGTGTTTTTTTTTAATGGCTGACCATAAAAAGAAATGCTGCTGAGACTCAGTCATCTCTTAAATTCATTCTCGCCACTTGAAAAGACTGCCCTTGACACTTGTGTAGTTTAATGGTGAAACCAGTGGCCTACCATGATTTAATGGTGCCCATGGCAAACTGCCAAAAGTGCGCATCATAACACACATACATTGTTACAAATAAACTAAAAAATCGCATTAAAAGATCACACGAGTTGTGAATTATAAGGTCATAACATATGTCATTATGTGTGTGGTGTTTATAATTTAACTGAAAATGAAGCATGTGCAGTCGTCGAGTGGGCCCTGAAACCACTGCGGCTACAGGAGGCCTCGGATCTATATGGGGCGATAAAACCAAAAATTGGCATGCGGTCTCCAAAAGTCCAGTGACGCCTAAGACTAGGGCATGAAATGGCACCTAGGTTAACTTTAGTTTACTTTAGGTCAAGATGGCGTTGTTCAAATCCCGTTCGAGTTGGAAAACGCTATCGATGAATGTGTGCGAAATTGTGGCGTTTGTGGTGCTTTAGTGTGTATTTTCTATTCCGAAGAATTTTATTCTAATTTATACATTTATGGCGAAAAATTATACTTGTGTTTGGACGTGACATCATCAGTGACATCATTTTTTTTTAAATTGAGATAGGATGCAATGTTAAAGAAACCCCACATGCATACAACCAGGTCAGCGTGAAGGTGAGGGTGAAGGACGCTCTAGCCCCGGGCACCAAAATCAGGGGCTTAACATAGTGAGTTAAACTCTACAATCCCAGTCCACTTCACAAACACAAAATCATTTGTTGGATGGTGCGCTCCGGGCAACACTTTATTTCTGTATTTCATTTGAGGCCGGGACTTTCACGTTTCGCCTCGGGCAAGTCCTTCACTCGGCGTGAACCTGACTACAGCTGTCTGAGAATGTTTCCATTGCTGCTTTTACCACGCGGCTGCATCTGTGTCTTTTTACTCTTTTTCTATTGCAGTTATTGAAATGAGCATTTAAACTACATTTAAAATCACATGATCAACTCATATGTTATGTGATTGTTCTCATGAAAATATTTTTTTTTTTAAATGAGTTATTGTTAGACTGATATATTTATGTATACATACATCCATACTTCTAAACATGAGTCTGATTTCGATCTTTTCTTACTATTCTATAGGTGAATTTATTTTTCTTGTGACTTTTTCCTCCGTGACTTCTTTTTTCCTGGACTTTTTTTACTATGTCTTTTTGTTCTATTGACTTTGCCCCTATACATTTCTTCCTAAAAAAAATTGGGACTTTTTCCCCGTGACTTCTTTCCTGAAACTACTTTCTGCTCACCGTGCTAGTGTGTGTTTTGACGTAATTTTAAGGATCTAAACAGGGACCAGTAGCGTACTTTAAGGGTGTTAAGGGGGCAGTCACCCCGGCGGCACTTTTGTTAACGTTAATTAAAAACACAATATAATAGATTGAGGTGTGTGTGCGGGGGAGGGGGGATTTTAGGAATTCGCCCCTGTCAAGGTAACATGGATAGTCTGGTCTCGTGCGGAGATACTGATCTTCCATCGAGCGCCTCCCCAGGTGGCGGATAGGGGAAAGCCCACCAGATATGGAGGGTACCAGGGAAATAAAATACCTGGGGCGGACCAAAATCACAACCTACTGCCTTTTAGGAAGGGAAGGGATCCACAAAGGCTAGGGAACCTTACCCAAAAACTAAGGCAGCTATCCAGAGAGCTGTAAGGGGCAACCCCCCAGACGGTTGTGCGCAGGGTTAACAACCCAGCCACGTAAAAAACCCAACGTTACGAAAGCCAACAGAACAAAACCCGGACTGATACCAATGGAAATCGACCTATGCATGGATATGGACATGGTTTGTGGATTGCGACTTGGAATGTACTACGCCTGTTTAGAGCAGAAACCTTAGCCAACCTTGTAAATCAGCTGGTCAAATATAAAATATCTATATATAAGTTATTATACCGGCTATGTCCGAACCGAAACCATTACGTACACTTATTTTCACTCAAAGAACATCCCGATCAAAACACTTTGGACAAATATTAAGGTTGCCTTTAACATGTGTAAATCGACTGAGTAACCTCAGTGTTAAATTCGATAAAATAGGTGGAGCTGCACGGACCTAAAGGGGCCAAAATTATCACCGGAAAAGAACGGGTTGGGGGGGGGGGGGGACAGAAAACATTAAAAAGTTGTG